CAAAAAACTCGGAAAATAGCTTCGACACATATATCTCCGGCCGTGAAAGTTTACCCTCTTTGATGAACTTTATAATTTGAACAAAATGTTCTTACTTCTTTTTGTACCATCATTTGACTTTTGAGAAAACGCCTACCAAGAAAAGGGGGATGAGAAAGAGAGGATATTTTAATTTGTTATTGCTTTATATTTTTGAGCGGCATTACCTCTTTTGACCTGAACTGTTTCGGAGCCGACAAGTTCAATCCATCGTTATTCCCAAGATGATTGTAGCTCACAATACTGACTGGTTTGATACCGGCTCCAACCAAGAAATCCACGAGCACGCTCTTGATTTTTGTCTGCCCTGATTTGAAGTCATCACCGGCGATGAAGACGCCTTCTTTTTCCGCGTAATCAATAAGTCCTGGTACGAAGGTATTTTGGGGGGACCCATTAATGTAAGTGCAGCCCATTGCGATGGAGGCATACGCAAATAACACCGAAGGTGGTATTTCCGGGTTGTTCGATGCGATTGCCGATTTTAAATTTTCTGCTGTATCGTTCACCCCTTCTAGAACGTTGGAGAAGCATTCAGTGTTTGCTGTCCAGAGGACAATAACTGTTTCTACCTTGGACGATTCTTTGAACTCGGCGATATCCTTTTTTATTTGGTCCGTTTGTTGTTGTAAGGTTCCAGTCAATATGTTGTCGGCACGTGTTTTCTGAAAAAAAAAAACTCCAGTTAACTATTTTGCTATGAGTTTGAAATAACTGCTATTTTGTGTACATATAAATAATCTATCCAGGACCACAGTGACAACAGAATGTGGGTGTGTGAACACTGGGACTATATTCTAGTAACACTTCATTGTGAGATTCTCACTAGACTGTTTATAAAACCGCCATATCTGTTTCGCTAATCAACAGCTTCCTCAAACTGTTATAAACTGACTGAATTACGACAGCCATCTTGGTTTTGGCCAGGTTGGAGCCTGGCTCCCTTACCCTTTATAGTCCAGTCATTATAGTAAGTTCACCTCGGAATTCGAGATACCCAGCTGTAAGTCTGTAAATACTTGTATATTGACACCCTAAAAGTTGTCCCAAAACCTACATATGGTAGGGTGTACGCAACTATCAAATTTGAAGGTCAAAGGTCACAAAACTCGTTTTTTTGCGCTTTTTTTGTAAATATCTCATTTCCTATGGGTTTTTTGCTATTTGT